TTCTGGATGTGGCATGGCTAGATTTGTACCAATGCAATTACATAGATACTTTAGAGGGTAAATTCCCTCTGAGAAATAAATCTAAATGTTGGAGAAACATGTGACTAGGAAAATAAACTATCAGGATATTAATCCTAAACTGCATTTTCAGTGATTTTTTTTTATATAGTTGACATCTTGATTTTAAGGTAAATAAGGATAAATGTCCTTAAAGGAGCCTCTTGCATTCTGGTGCAAAGAGTGAATTGGGGGATCACTATAACCCCTGAAAGAACTGACAAAGACTTTTTATAGCTAACATTATCAGACATCAACTGTTCCTTGAAAACCTACTATGTGTACTGAAAACTCAAAGTTAAATATTCTTCAGGAAACTACTCTTGAGAAATTACTGAGTTAGGGAAAGAGAGAATTGTTAGTGGAGTCTGGACTTGAACATTTGCCAGTGGAACAAAAAGCCCAGGCAAAGAGGAAAGAGCAATATATGCAACAGCACAGCATCTTCCCAGCTGAGAAGCATGCACACCCGGCAAAGGCCTCTAACAGAAAAGGCCCTCATACTGGCAGGAGGCAGATGACAGAAGATAACTATTTTTGATGTCAAGGATAAGTATTGTGACAAGATAGAGCTTAAGTGAGAACTAGAAGAGACGGGGAGAGAAGTAGTGGGGAGAAGCTGAAGTAGATTTTTCTCCGTATGTGGCTAAAGTTAATGGGTCTTAATCTGAACACTCTTCTGCAAAAGTAGAATTCTGCCTTCATGATTCTAAGACTTGACTTTCCTGTTATGCAAATATACCTGATTTGACCTCATCTGAATAGCAACCTTTAAGGCCCAGGGTGACTCAAATCCCCCTACTTCCAAGGAGACAAAGAACCGATTCGTTATGCCAAGGGCAACTTATCTTTCCCAGAGGAAGCAATCTTTGTCAACTTAAAAACTCACATAGCATTTGTAATCTCAGAGATCTGACACATACTCACATGCTAATTTGTATTGTTAACTTTTTAATGTGTTTACATCTTAGTTTTCTAAATAATACCTAACTCTGTGGAAGCAGATAATTTTTTTTCTATTTCCTACACTCTGTATCATATTATTGGCAACATACTATTAAGGAGGAACCAAAAATAAAGAAAAAAATACGAAACAAGAAAGAATGAAAAGAAAAATAATTAGCTTTCTGCCACATCAATATTTTGAAAAACTCTATTTTGAAGATTTGGGTGGCAACAGATGTTAGCCTTTAGTCCTTACCACAAACCATAACATGAGAAGTCAAAATAATCCAAAAGAACTGGTATTAAAAATAAAGTAGCCTACTGTGATTATATGTGGATTTTTCTTCAATACATTCCAGGTGTCCATATGTCATAGTGACTTTTACCAGTAAGCTTTCTAAAGAGAAAAGAAATAGAATGGGGGAGGGAGGAGACCTTCATTTTTTGTGCCCCTATGGGTTGGAGCCATTAATTCTGTGTGACATTTATCATGTCAATATCTGTCTCCTCTTAGTATCCCATCAATAAAATGGAGATGACCAAACATGCCTTCTGTATGCCTCACAAGAGAATTATAAAATCAGTGAGATGAACCACTTGTTGAATATTCCAATGCAAAGATTCCATTTGATGAATGATTCTTTCCCTTCTGTCTCCTAAGGAAAAATAAGTGGAAGTGCTCAAGGAAAAATCAAAGAAAAGAAACAATGAAATGCCATCCTATCCATTTCATTTCTTTTTTTTTAGGATTTCAAATAGAAGTTTGTCTTGAGGAGATGGTCAGATTTATCATCTTGAAAATATAGACATTTTTGGGTTTCAAAATTATCCATTTTTCCCCCATTTTCTGTTAGTGTTCAACCTGCTCCATCCATGCAGAACTGTTAAGCCTCTTCAAAGCAGAGTGCTCTGCAAAGATGAGTTAGTTTTCTATATGGAGAAACATGGGGGAGAAAAGGGAGTTTACTCAGCTTCTGCTTCAGCATTTGGACAGTGGATTTATCAGACTAAAAGCTTTACAAAAGAATTTCAATAGGTAAATATCAATCTGGCTGAAAACAGTTTTTATAGTGATTAATATTCTATTGCTAATAAATACTTGCTGGCAGAATGCCCCCAGAAGACGGCATTGTTTACACTATTGTCTCAGAGGAACAGCTGTTTACCCCTCACTACATTCAGAGCTGCAGTATTCTTACTAAAATGTTAACAAATATTAGACAAATGTCTGACATTTAAGGCTCAACTTGCTCTGAGAACAGGTGTGTTTGAGGGAGAGAAACAAAAAGCTACAACTGTAAATAGTTTAAATTAGGTGAAATTTATACACTGTACACTGGGTCTGCACATAGACATATGAATGCAGAGTTCCAATATTTACTAATAACCTGAATACCATTCACAGTTTGAGGGCTTCATGGCAAAAAATTTCCTAATTGCCTGTTCATATCTATCCTAAGCACATTTTACTGGCACAGATAATTAATTTTAAGCCATCCTGCCAGAAGACAAAGCCAACATATTTTATAATTTTTGAAATGTTATATTAAACTAAACATTTTGGGGGGTGTGAGGTGTAGAAGGTGGAATTATATAGTGGAACATTAAACTCAGTGACAAAAGACGTGTTGTCTGACTATCATATTCCTATTCATAAAGAGAGGGGTCTTGAAGAGTTGTTAGGGATGTGGAACTAGGGGGAGGAGACTTATGAATTGGTACCATCATTTTAAGAATAACAGAAAATACCTGGTAAAGCTGAAGACAAGCATTTCCTATGGTCCAGAAATTCTACTCTTCAGTATATGAGCAAGAATAGCTAAAAGACAGGTACAAGATTGTACTTTTTAAAGGGAAATATCAACAACCCTGCAAGCAATCTATAGATCCATACATCAAAGAATTAATGAATATATTTTGGCATATTTATGAAATGAAATACAATACAGTAGTTATAATAAAATAACTAGGACTTTATGTAGCTGGATACATACATTTCAAAATTATAGTACTAAGTAAATTGCAAGGTGCAAAATGAAAGAACATGACACCACTTATGTATTGGTTAAAGACAAAGCACTCTACATATTGTTCAGGGAGATAAATATGTATGGTAAAAGTTTAAAAACATTATGTATAGGAATGATATACACCAGATAAGTAAAGTGTTTACTTCTAGGTATGATGGCAGATGAATGGGATCAGAGAAAATGCAAAAGGAGCTTCAGTTATATCTGTACTATTCTACTTTTAAAAATGCCTAAGTGTTTACATACAATTAGAACATACCAAGCTGTAATGGCTCAGTATATTTCTCTAGACTTCTTAGTATGATTAATAGCCAGATAAATGTTTTTCACCATGGGATTCTCAAAGGCTAGGGGTTGGGTGGCAGCTCCTCAGTACCCTTGGTAGAAGGAAAAAAGAAGCCCATGCAGATAGATTTTGAACCTCAGCCCTCTCCTCTCTTCAGACCCCTTCCCAGCTGCCAAGAGGACAGCTCCTTAGGTCACCTCAGCCTCGATATGTTGACATTCACCATCTTCTGGGTGTGGTCCTCCACTGCACCCTACCATGCACTCTAACTAAAACTCCAGCTGGGAAAGTCTTTCAGTTTGCCCAGGAATCTAGCGACTTACATAATCATCTTTAGTTAGAAGCTTAGAGAGAAGAGGATCATTTATGTGTAAGTGATAGGACCCTCAAAATTCTTTCTTCTCTAATAAAATGATGAGGTCAGTAATCCAGTTGTCATTCAACTATCTCTTAATATTTCAGTGATGTGAGTCTAGCTGTAACCAAAAAACACAAGGTTAACCTCAGGATTCATGCAGAAGCTGCTTGAAACCTAGTCCCATCTGTAGTTGTGCAGCCAGGATTGTCAGGAGTCTACAATGACAAATAAGACTGTATAATTGCTTCTGTTGAAGGTAAGAGGAGGATGGGGAGAGAGGGAGACATCAAATTCCTCTGAAGTGGGTAGAGTTCATCAACCCTAACTTCATTGTAAGCTTCAAATAGGAGAAATCATTATGGTCCCTCATTTTGTTAAGATTTGACAGCTCTCTGACAGCTTCCAGTAAAAACAAACTAAGTTGATTTATGATAAAGCAGGAGAGTTTCCAGATGTATACTAGAAGCCAAAAACAGAAACAAAATTTGTAAGAGGGGGTGTCTAGAAAGAAACCCAAATCACTCTTTCCCTTTTTCAAAATTCAAATCCCTACAGCAGAGTCCTCATACTTTGAATTCTATGAGCCAACCCGGGCTTCCACCCTGACTCTCATCACTACCACACCCATGTGTCTCTCCTCTCTCCGTCTCCCTGAGATGTCAGTGAACCACTGACTTGGAATCCAGAGCCCCGAGCACCTTGCAGTACCTGCCCGAAGCAACGCGCCAACAGCGGGCGGGAGACGCAGACGCCAAGAGGATGAGCGGTGGGAGTAGCTGTGGGGTCTGCAAGCAGGGGAGCGCGCACAACGTTAAACCGCGAAACCAGAAATCCCGATCCTATCGAGACCCATCAGCTTTTCCCATTAGGGAACGAACGCAGGGGAAATTAAATGCGTAATTCAAGCTCTGTTTTCCCCTCCCCTCCAAAGGTGGGGTGGAGGAACGCATCTCGTTAGCTCATTACAAAGCTTTCCGTGGGAAATTCCCTCTTCCTAATGCGCTTGTCTTCCAGCTCCTATTAGCATTCTTCAGCAGCGGTCTTTGAAAATCTCCTTTAAATTTCAATACCTCTACTCGTTTCCCAAATGGGGGGAAGGGAAGAGGAAGCCGGTGGAGGGTAGAGAGAGAGAGAATCTCCTTTCCCTTTCACTCCCAGGTAGCCAAAGCGCACCGCAGCGGCTAGGCTGCCTGGAGGAAAAGCGCCGGAGCGGGGCAAAGACCCGCCCAGGCTGCTCTTATAGGCGAGCGCGGGGCGGGCCTGGCTGTGGGCGGCGCCGCGCGGCCCCGCTCGCCTATAAGGAGCTGTCCGCCACCCCGGTGCTGATTCCAGCTCTCGCGCCCGAAGAGGTGGATTTGGCTGTCCACCGAGCTCCGGCGCTTGTCGTTCTAATTGGGTTTGGATTTGCACCGTTAAGGAGGGGGGAAGAGAAGGAAGAGGCGGGCGAGGAAGGCGAGTCCAGCTAGCGGCTGTTGCGGGGACCGTAGCCCCAGCTGCAGCTCCGGAGACTCCCCCGCCACGGTTTCGGTGGAGCGTCTGGGCACGGGATGGTGTGAAAGAGCAAGTGCCTCTCCAAGGGGGGGTGGGAGGGGGTCAGGCCGTGCAGAGAAGAGAGAGAGCGAGAAGAAGCCGCGGCTGGCGACTGCGAATTTGGGATTCCATTGGGAGGGACCGCTCACTCGGGGGAAATGGATTCTGTACCACGGCTGACCAGCGTTTTGACTTTGCTGTTCTCCGGCTTGTGGCATTTAGGATTAACAGCGACAAACTGTGAGTACGAGGAGCTGGGGGCGGGTAGGTGAGGTGGAAAACGATCGCATTCAGAAAGACAATCAACTGTCTAAGCGTACTCGATTGTGTCTGCTTTGGGCAAAGGAAACGGAAAAAAAAAAAAAAAAAAAAAAAAAAGCTAATCAGTGTGGTTCCATCACTCCAACCATCCCAAAAGTTAGCAGAGCTCAAATGAGCCAGCCCTGCTGGATTTCCTGCCTTCTTCCGTTATCGCAAAGTTCAGGGGATAAGGAAGGGTTTCTCTTCCCTTAATCTCCTGCTAGCTCCGCGTTCCATGCCTGCATGATCTCAGCCAGGGCTTTTTCCGGAGAAGGGCCCCCGGTTCAGATAGAATGCACTGGGAGCTGAGCTTCCTGGGATGGAGAAGCTCCCAGCCACCGTGCTCGGTGACAGTGCCTCATCTCTGAATGCAGTGCCTCAGATTTGCAGTATACCGAGCACCCCACGATATGTGGCTCTGCGTTCTGCCCTAGGTAGAAGGCTCTAGTTGGGGTATCCTGCAACCAATGGGCACCGGTTTAACAGGATTGGGAGTTTTGGCCTAAGAGTCATGGACCACTGTAGTCAACCACAAGATCAATGGCTGCCCCTATTAGAGGAGGAAGAGCTTTGATGCACACCCCACCCCAAAAATCTTTGTGCTTATGAACATTAATGAGTATACACTAAGTGTACACTCTGTCGTCCAAGATCTAACCTCGGCAAGTGCAGGACATTTAATTTAATAGGCGGGAAGGCTGGACTCCCGGGGATCCACCAACTGCACTATATATTTAAAGAATCCAGTCCGTCAAACTTGAATAAATCTCTGGAGCTGTGAGAGGTTCAGGCTCAATTTCTCAGCTGCCTCTCTAGGCAGAGGAGAGGAAGTTTTTCCAGCTCTGGGACCTCCTAAATGAAAAAGAATGCAATTAAGCCATCTGTGTTGTTTCCAAAGATGGTTTATCAAGGTGCCTCAAGTTTCTGGGCTTGCTCCCATATCCCTTATTCCTGTCATGAAGCTCAGAAATACTACCCATATTGGAAGAGTTTTATTTTTTATTTTTTGTAATTTGCACTATCATGGTTAGAGAACAGTAGGAAGATTACTTACCACATAGGGGCTTTTCTACCTCACTCTCCACCCACTTAGGTCCTAGAGGACCCTGTGCGTTTATCCCCAGAGTTATGTCTCAAGGGAAGATAATTGAACAAATGTAGCGTACAGAAAAATGTTCAAAACTGAGCCAGTGTTTCTATCTGTGGTCAGAAGTTTTGGAGGGACAGCATCTACAGTTAGTCGTAATGCCTTATACCGATTGTATTAAAGTTTGTATTCTACAGGAAGGCTAAAGGGATCATCCTCTCTAGAGGAGGATCCAAAGGGCCCTGGTTTATAAATTATTTCAGAGAATATGTAGGAGCAGTTGGAATCTGACTTTTTTCTTTTACTTCTTCATCTCCTTGTCTTCCACCTCCTTCTTTTTCTTCTTCTTCTATGAAATTGTTCCCGTGTTGCTTTAGAAAAAGATCTAAGTGGTTAGTAAGAGGAAGTAAGGCACAGTGCTGGGCTAGTTTCTCCACCTTCTAGAACACTAGAGGTCAGTATTGTCCTAATGATACAAAGGCGTGGCAGCAAGCTAGCTGTGTTTTCCCTTCAGCACATTTACCTATCTGAGGAGAGTGAATACTTTGAAAAGCCACAAAGATGGGGGTGAGAGATAAGGGTAAAATATACTCCATAGGCATATGGCTTTGGACTTCCTAATGCAACAGCTTTGCTTAAGAGCCAGTAAAACAAATATTGTAGAATAGCATTTATTTTGTAAATTAATTGAATTGTGGTTAATGTGTTTTAATAATGCTCATAAAACCTAAATGACATGGATTTAAGACTCATGCTTATCATTACCGATGCAGTAATAAAGCTAATTCTGAACATTTAAAATGAAACTTTGTGATAATGAGCTTTAGTATTTTATCAGTGACAGTTTAATTTCCCCATTTCCAATCAACATTTCAATTGAATGCTCGCTGCTTGCTAAATATTTTAGGGTCAGTGTTCTTAAGGAATAATCATTAATGATCATTATGCTGTACAAAATCTATTAATTGAGTGAATAATAGAACAGCGGAAAAAGATTAGCTCTGAACTTGGTATATTTTGGTGTCTTCATAACCTATGATGCAGAAGCTCTAAGAAAAATGCATTAAAATTCCACAATTCCTTTAGATTTCTACTGACCACACACTTTATTCATTAAATATAAGACTTGGGTTTATTTTTATCTATAATCAATTAATATTTGTATACATATATTGAACATTAGCAATTTCTTTTCAAATAGTCACTTTATAAAAGTTTATTTGGAAAATTTTTTTACAAGATCATTCTTCCTATATTTTGAAGTAATACTTCATGACATTTGTGACAATAGCCTTGAAAATGGATTATTAACCCAATATTTTCCATGGTATATAGTTACACTTGTGGACTTTCTTCAGGTATACATAACTTCTAATTGTTTTTATTATTCTTATAATAATATGTTGTTGGTGGTTGTCATTGTGGTGTGGTGTGTATGTGTGTGTTTTTTTTTGTGTGTGTGTGTGTGCGCGCACGTGCACTTACATTTCTTATAATCTGACCAAAATTTGGACTTTTAACTTCAAAGGAAAGATGAATGCTTGCCCAGTTATAGATTTTGTAAGTTTCTAATTAAACAAAATTAAAATAAAGTCAGGTTAGAAGGGCCAGCTTCAGTACAGGTATTATGAATCTTTGCAGAGAACATAATTACCTACCAGTAATAAAAACTGCAGAAATTCCCTCATTTCAGATTTTCAGGATATTAAATAGCTTCAATTCTTCCTTTGGGTTTACCCTGAGGGAATTAGTTAACTTTGAATGTAGATATAGTAGGCCAATGTTTAACAAAAAGTCATTTTACATATAATATTAACTCCTTTGACACAAGAAGAAGTGATATGACTTGATAGTTGGTTACAGTGAAACTGGGAGTTAGAAGAGCTGAGGAGTTCTAGCCCTAGTTATGCCACAGCTAAGGGTTCAAATACCTGTTATGTTATTCAACCTTTTAGTGCTCATAGGCTTGAGTATAAAACAATTTAGGTATGCATCTGCTCCAAAACAGAACAGCAGGTACATATATTACTGAGAAAATTCTTTAAATATTAAGTATGTTAAAAGACAATTACAGTGATAGAGTGTGCATTCAGAAGATAGCAGGAATGCATGGAACACATATGGTGTCATTACTTACTATTTTTAACAATAAGTATAGGTTGTGAGATTATAAAGAGCTTTAATTTTGAGCCATACATCACTTTGAATGATTTCCAAGCACAGTATCTTAAGTTTGTTGCTACATATTAGGGTCACACAAATACAGCCTTGAGAGAGGGATCAAAAACTCTTCATTCTAGCTCATTCATCACATGTGGAATTTCATCTAAGATATATGAGAACGTCAATCAGATTCATAAGGCTCTTCAAATAAGGAGATGCACTTTGAGTTATCTGAAGCTTTTGCACAAACTCAATCAATAGGTAATATTCAAAATAAACAAACAATCTGTCTAGTTTTTTCAGCAGCAACTTTTTGTGGCATTTACAGTCGGCACAAGTAAAGGAAGAACTATAATGCTCTTTTGGAAGAGTCTTAAAGATTTTCCTTTTGTTGAATTGGCTTATCTTTGACAATACATGTGAGCACTTTTTCCTTTCTCTTCTGATAGTCCCCCATCTCACAACTAAATTTATATTTCCACAATTGGGAAATGTATACCAAACCCTAGCCTAGCAATTTCCACATGAGTTCAAAATTATGAGAAAATTAGTTTTATTACGAAAACCTTACTCGCTCCTTGATTTATTTTTGTTCTAATGAGTGACTATGCTCTTCATTGCAGTTTTCTTTCTTTTTCCTTTGTTCCTCTGCCCAATTTCATAGCTTTCATTACTGGATCCCAGTTTCCCTTTACTGAATCACTTTACTTCTTAATGCCCATTTGTTAAAAAAACAAAGTAATGTGATATCGTTTGAAATGCCCCTAAAACCTTCATTTGGTGATTCAGAGTCTTTGAGTTGATAAGCCAGAGCTTCACTCAAATATTGCCTGTGTATACAATGATAATTTTCTCCCTTATAATGAGAAGGTGGAGAAAAGATCTAGTTACCTACAATACCAGAGGGCAATTGCAATTCACTCAATAGGACTTTATTGAAAGGTTGCAGTGTACACATTTGGAGCCAATAATGACATTTTTAATTCATAAGGGAAGCTTTCTTCATTCATCAAAACTCTGCCACTTTGTGGATGGTGACCTTGTAAAGGTTACATAGTTACCCCGATGATCTTGCTGTATGAAATGAAGAAAATGGATTAGATCATTATTATTAACATCCTATTTACTTTTAACGAACTTTGTCTTTAAATGCTAAGGTTGCCTACTGGTCATTTCATCTGGATATTTCTGGGATGATTATATTCTAACATTGTAAAACAATTATAATTAGAATAACAACATAGTAGGGTTTTAATTCCTACCAACTTCTATACACTTATCTCTTACCTCATATTGTGTCCACATAAATTATCAAGGCAGCACAGCTAGGTATACTTACAGATCCAGTTTACAGATTAGTATATTCAAGGTTAGCAGAAGTTAATGATTTCCTCAAGATCACAAATCTAAGCAATAAAAAGTCAATATCTGGACCTATCTTTATCTATTTTCAAACACCAAACTCTTTGCAAGGTATGAAACTTATTCCAAAACATTCACTTTGACACATTGTGTATATACATATCTGTGGAAACTTGACATGAGTTCTTTATGGTTAATTTCTGTAGCTCTACCCATGGCAAAGGGCATGAGAGTAGCAGTTCACACCACGGCCAACTCCTGAGTCACATCTAAAAGAAAAAAAAAATGGAGATCTAGATTTGATGCAAAATGCTAAACAGCACAATGA